TAATTGTGTCTTTGTGTGAAATATCTTAAGTATGATTTTGCATTTAGAAAATGGATGACCTATCACACGATGGTAATCATAATAGTGCAAATTAGACTTCTCTTTTGCCATTGGTGGTCTTGATATGTAAGGTAAATTTATTTGTCCATCTCTAATCCATTCTCAAAGGAGTGCTTTTACTCGATTAAGTGGAGTTGAGAATGAAGGAGGTGCATTGATCTCTTCATGTTGTCTTCTTTTAAAGTTGTTGCACCTTGGCCTTAGGTTATCTTGAGGTCCTCTTCTTTCCTTACCTTTTTTTTGGATTGCGTTCACAGTCGGGATGTTTCTCCTATTGGAACGATTAACTCCCTTTTGCCTAAAGATCATATTATTGGTCCATTATGCAACTTCAACTAAAGTGGCAAAAATATGAAGAGGTAAGTTTTCCAAATGCACCATATATTCATCAAACATACCTTGGATGCATACTTTGACCAGCTTTTTTTCATCATGAAAATCTTATATATCCAGTACGCGTTCCCTAAATAGCTAAATGTACTCCATAAGATCCTCTTATAGCTTTTGATGTTCTCTCCCTAAGTCAATGAGGGCCATCTTCTCTTAGGTAAAAAGAACTTTTTTTTGAACATTCTAAACATTTAGTTCTAAGAGCAACAGAGTTAGGAGTGAGATTAACATACCAGATGAAAGTTTTCTTAGTGAGGGACTCGGAGAACTCCTTTAACTTTAAATTATTGTCTAAACCTGCAACTCTCAAGGTTTTTACAAACTTCATGACATGTTCCCGAGCATCACTAGTCTTGCCATTAAATTGTTTGAATTTGGGGGTGGCGTAATCCTTGGGGTATAGTTTAGCGACTACATTAGCAAGATAGGGTAGTATTAGGTCAAACTATGAGAACTTATGACTCTAGTTCTTCTAATTGAGCAGCTTCTCCAACTCTTCCTTTGTAACAAAACTCTGAGCACTAATGGAAGGAGTTACCATAATGAGATTGCCTATAATAAAGGGATTATTGGTATTGAGGAGTGAGTCAGTCATGCTCTTTTCATTTTCTTCACTTCCATTGTTGTTGACCATGTCAATAGCATTTTCTCCATTATAGGTTGGCAATGGTTGAGATTGAGAAGTTGTGGCAATTGAGGATACAAACTGGGTGATGGTCTCCATCATACATTTGTTGTTTTCTTCTAAGACTTGTATCTTTCCTTGGAAAGCTTGAAGCATTTTCACGAGCTCTTAAACAAAAATAAAAGGCAGGTGTTTCTTGGTTGTTGGGAGAACTCTCCATATCTACTGGTAGGAAATTTTGGGACAACTCTTTCACTTATTGTAGTCACTCATCCATAATGGAGTCACTAAAATGTAGAGGGTTCTTCTAGTAAAGAGAGAAGATATGTTACAGTAAGTGAAGCGAAATGCACTAGAAGTGGCAGAAAGAAAGACTAGAGTAGTTTTTGAAGCATATATGCTTTGATGGCAAGCAATTAGGAATAAGAAAAAAGGTAAGGAAAAAGGCAGAAATGAATAGATGGAAAAGGCTAAGTAGAGATAGAATTTGAGAGTGCTGTGAGAGTGTTTTTAGGATAATTTCGAGAAAGTTTCTTCTCAATTCTGATTGTCCTTTTCTCTTTCCAAACTTTCATATTTATACTAGGTAAGAGAACTTTCTCAAGAACAATTAGGAAAACACATTCAATCATTGGAAAACATGCTTATCGTGGGAGAGTACGTAAAAGAATGACTTATTAGATGTTAAGCTTAATCATGAGAGAACATGCTAGTCATGGAAGAGCATGTTAAGGAATATAAGATTTGGGTAAAACATGTGTACTTCAAGAAAAGGTTAAAAAAGATCCTCATAACTACTCCATATTTTAGCCACCAAGCCAAACTCTCTAAGACATCTTAAATGTGAAGATAACTCATGAACCCTGTCACTCGTTCTCGTTCTAAGTTACTTTCACTTTCCCATATAAATAGTTGTTCTCTGTTTGTTCTTGTGTGCTTCTGAGCTTAGAACGACCCTGAATGCTTCAACACTTGAAATGCCCATGGGTGCTTTCTCGCTTGGAACGCCCTGGGGGCTTTCGCGCTCGTAACACCTTTGGGCACTTTTGCATTCGAAATCTGTTGGGTGTTTTTGTGCTCGGAAAGCCCTTGGTGTAATTTTTTTTTTCTATAACACAATATTTGAAGAAATAATAATTTGTCAAAATTAGATATCTACATATACAAAATAAAAAAATTAAAACAAAAACACAAAATTTACAATCTATTTTTTAAATTTTTGGTCAATTTTACGATCTATTTATATCTTAGTCATATTCTTAATTCTTAGCAAACACTTACCAAAGCTTTCTTTTGTGCAGGTAGATGTCCCTTTCAGCAATCAACATTGTGTTTCTTAGTATATCTAAACTATATATAGTACGTCCTTAATAGTTGTACTTTTTGATTCATGATAAAGAAAAAAAAAATGAAGCTGTCACTTTTCTGTGTTAATAAGTTAAGTCCTAACCTTTCATTAAGAGTACCTGGAGCTAATATTGTTTTGCTTAGCATTATTCAATGTTTCACTTTCAGCAATAGCATTAATTACTTCTTGGAAATGATTCACATGCATGCTCTCTCTCATAAACAACAAAACTCCAAAACCAACTTTCCTTCTTTTCCTTTTTCCCTTTTTGTTTTTTTAATGAAACTTTGGTTTGCATCCTTTTCTAATAGTTACTTCAGCTGTTCCACAATTAGTTACATCCAATTCCAATAGCACAGGTTCAAAGCATTTAGTAGCTTTTCACTACTCCAAATGAGACATCATTTCTGGAGTTTCCTAGCTAGTTTTGGCGCATATAGTAACCCATTTTCAAAATCTTAAATATCATTTAGTACTTTCGAGTAAAAAAGGAGAATTCATTAATGATTGATTAACTCTCGATTTTAGATACAGCCCAAGTTTTCTGACACTACACTCTCCTGATACTGAAGATAATTTCAAACAGATAATCTTAGATACATAGCACATCATACATTTGATTCGAAGAAAAAATCAATGAACAGATTTATAAAGAGTCTCTATTTAAAATTAGATTCAACGTGGTCATTAATTTTCTTGTAATAAAGAAAATCTAGTAGCGTTATGATTTTGGGTAGGAAATTAAGCACCAATTCTATGTCTTATTTGATTATTTGATTAATTTCTCCTTCACATATTTCTCCAACCAATGAGAAAGTAGAGGATATTTTGTTTTCCTTTTAATATATATTTCAGAGTACGTTTGTCTAAATACAAATCACGATGTTGGTATCGTCACCCCAAAGTGTGTACAATGTCTGCTTTTGATCTCTCTCATGGTTCATGATTCAGAGACATTAATTTTTAACATTAATTAATTATTTTTTTTTGTTTTTTTGGTTTTTCTTTTCTGGTTCAGAGAGAAACGCAGACTGTGTTAACATCGGGATCGAAAAAGACAGATGAAAGCACATAAACCGAAGGTCACGAACCAAATGATTAAACCCATCTCTCTTTTACACTAATATCTCTGCAAAACCATTAAAGAAAAAATTGCCATATCCAACATCTCTGAAAATGTATTTTCAAAAGTTGGTTGGCTCATTTGCATGTGCACTGCTCTTAGTGATTCTTGGAGTCTTTGCAACGTAACAGCCCTGGTCAAAATCTGTTGCACAGAGCCCCAGCCAGAGAAAAAGAAGTATGTTAGGAATACTAATTAAGCTAGGGATTGCAGCTCAACGAGACAGAGGAGAGTTTAACTACTGATTTCTTTTCTTATTTGAAAAGGGCAATGGGTGCAGATCAAGGATGGTTTATGAGGAGGAACACTTTACTGTTAAACCTTGACTACCTCACACTATATATAAGATCATGTTTCTTTGCAGCTTATGAATTTGTGATTATTATGGTTCTTTGATAGGAATTGGTGGTTTAAAGGTCTAAGACTGTAATTAAAGTGTTGGATGGTCTACTTAATTTTAGAGATTAGCTTTGTATATATTTCACTTGTTTAAGTATTCACAAGTTTAATTAGTCTAATGATTGTTATATCCATTGGTAAAAGTATTTAGGTTTACTGTTTAAATCTCCTGTCTAGCTACTCTCATAAGCTTCCTTACATTACCCAAAAAATAATACTTGCACCTCTGTATGCAAGATATACAGATATGCATTAACCAAGAATATCCATTTTTATACCTCATTCCTCTTCTCTAAACCCATGCAATGTAAGTAATAGAAACTACCACTATCTTGGATTCAAAAGAAAAATTCGAGCAGCACTGTTTATACTAGAGAAGAATATGAAGAAGATGGGAGGGAAAAGTTGAAACCCTAACAAAAACATTGATTAATGTGTCAAGTTGGCAAAGTAACGGGGTGACGTTCTAGTTTGCTTCCCAAAAAGAAATAATACCTAACCCCGGCGGCTAGCTCTTAGCCAGCTACAACAGGGTCCATTGGGTATTCCATCAATCCCTTGTATAGGACACTTGAAACACTTTATATTCTCGAATAAAGCAACCTTGTCCCCTAAATGTTACAACATCTGCATGTGTGTGAATATGTCTACGAACCAAACCCCCATAATTTAGTCAAGAATATGGCATTTAGGTATTACTCATGTAGTCACATTTCATTATACATACAAGAAAATTTTTCCCATGGTTTCCCATAAAAAAATTAAATATATTCCATTGTGGTTTTGAAGAAGAAGAGAAAAGAGAAAGATAGAGTAGTGTTTTTTGGTTTGATGGTCAGATTTCATCATAATATCCAATACCATCATCTTTCACTTGTAAGTTGATGGTTGCTACCCAAAACCTTTCCCTTTCCTTGTTTTCTAACCCTAACCCCATATTCTTTTGTCTGCTTTCTCATGGTCCCATTCTTTCTCTCTCTCTCTCTCTCTCTTGAAAGTGAGTGACTGAGTAATTGTGTTGAACATTTAATGAGTGAGTGAGTGCGTATGTGTGTGTGTGTACTCTCTTTTTGTGCTGCCTGCCATGGCACTACAAATCCCACGTTCTTCTCAGACTGCCTTTACCTTCTTTGTAGTGATAGTTTCTTGAATTTCTTTTTGCCTTTTTGCTTTTTTCTGGTTTATATTTCTTTCTTTCATTCTTGTTATTTGACCATAAGTATGTCCTCTGTGCTTAGCGATTTCTTGCAAGAGTTTGTGTTTGTGTTATTGTTCTCTTCATCACTCTTCTCTTTCTTGTCTTTGGCTTAAACTTAATTCAAAGGGAAAAACTGTTTGATCAAAAAAACAAAAACAAAAGATGTCAAGCTCCAACACTTCTGCACCGGAACAACTCTGCTACATCCCTTGCAACCTTTGCAACATCATTCTTGCGGTATTTAATTTTGATCCCTAATGACCCTTGTTTACTGCTGTGGGATCAGTTTTGAATTTCTCATTTAATGTCTATAACAAAGGCCTGGACTTTGCAAAAGGTTCAGATCATAGCAAAAGTTCTCTTTCCTTCTATGTTTCAAGAAGTTTTTTTTTTTTTTCCTTGAGTCTTATTGTTGTTGTTTGGGGTTTATGTTCTTTGCTTTTCCCCATTATTTTAGGGTCTCCTGGGTTAAGCAGTCAGGTCACTATCCTAAGACTTCTTTTCTCATTCTTTTGCAGAAAAGTCATAAATTCTCTTTGATTTTTTTTTCTTTTGCAGATCTTACCCTCTGAGAGAAGTAATTAAATATGGATCTTAATGGTTCTTAGTACTTGTTTTTTGGAAGATAAAACAAGCATGTGATGATAGATATATTGAATAATGAAGACGACATTTCCTTCAATTTTCTATGATTACCTCAACCTTTTTTGCTCATTGAAATACTGCACCCTGCACCAGCTGCCTTGATTTTGCTTTGCAAACCCCAAAAGCTTTCTTTGTTTAGCTGATTCGTGGAAAATGAAAGGGACTATCTCAGTTGTCTTCCTCAAAAACCCCATTTTCATGCAGCAAAAATGTTTTTCGAACCATGAGAAAGCCTGGTGGGGGTCTTGAGTGTTGACCACCCCAAAAAAGAATACAAAAAATTTAAAGGATAAAAACAGAAAAGAGCCCTAGGTATTGTACTAATTGGAATTGTTTAAGAAAAGCTTATATACTTCCAAAAAACCCTTATCCTTTTGCCTTGAAAGTTCAATTTGTTTCACCTGCAGAAGATCATGAAAAGATGGCCAGTTAATCATATTTGGTTTCCTATTTGAAAGATCATACAACTTTTCATAAGCTTTTCTTCTGCAAAAAACCCACATTTATTTCAGGCAACTTGTTTTTTCTTGATTAGGTTGGATAAGCTAAACTTTTACTTCATTTGTGCAGGTAAATGTTCCATGCAGCAGCTTGTTCGAAACCGTGACGGTCCGATGTGGGCAGTGCACCAATCTGTGTTCAGTGAACTTGGCAACTTCCTTTCCATCCAGGGCTGGAAAAGATATTCAGGTGATGATCATGGTTTTGTTTCAAAGTAAATCTGATTTTTTCCCATTTTGAGATCTAGCTAGGGTTTGTGGGATTTTGTTCCTTTCAAAGGAAAATCCAGTGCTTTTCAACATAAATTTTCATAGGGGCTGAAATCTAGGGTTTCTGAGCTTCGTTCTCCTTGAGAAAACCAAGGACAACGTGATTCCTCATATCACTGGAAAAACCCTAGGAACCGCCTACAGACCCATAAACAAAACCTAATTCTTGAAGGTTTTTTCAGAAGTCAGGATCTGGCTTGGCTAATTAGGGCAAATAGCTTTTATTTAGGGATTTTTTCCCTTACTTCCATTGAGCCCTAATTTGTATGATCTCATCACTTTGATTTTGATTGACATGAATTTTAGGGTTTGTAGGTTTTGATCACTATATACTGATTCCTTTTTCCATAAATTTTGTCATCTACTATACCAAATTTCAAAGCCTCAGTTTTTAGATCCCAAGGAAGCTTTCTTTCTTTCCCTTTTTTTTTTCAGTTAAGAAGAAGAAGAAAAAAAAGAAGCATCTTTTTCCCATTTAACATCTATCTTGGTGCTCTCTAAGATATGGGTTTTTGTTTTCTTATAGCACATAAAGCTATTTGATTGATTTGGTCACTTCACTCTTGTTTTTTCCTTTGTTTTTTTTCTTTTTTTTATCCTCATTTTGTGGGGAAAATAAATCTAAAGAAAGTTTCAAAAAGATCTATGAGAAAATGTAAATTTATAATAATATTGTTGCAGAGAGAAAAATTAACAAAATGAGATCCCATTAATGTAGTACAATGGAATGGAACCAAGATAACTTCATAAGGTCACATGTCTTAAAAACAAGCAACATGATAATTAATAATTTCCAAATTAAATAGGGTATTATAATATTATTATATATAAATAAAGTTTATGTATATTATTTATACATGTCAGTATGTAAAAAGGAAAAAGTTTTTTCACTATACCATCACAATAATTTTGAACCTTGATATTAAATGGTGAAGTTTTTGCATTATGCCTTTAATCTCAAAGTTTAAAGTGACTTAATCACTTACTAGAGATATGTAGTTCACTTCTTTTTTTGAAAAAAAAAATCATTAATGATTGAATAATAAATTACATCAATACGCTGATTCGAGTCTACAATCCTATTATACCAACTATATATACTCGTATATAGTTCACTTCATTTATGTTACATGAAAGCCAAATATAGATTATCATTTTTTTTTAATGAAAATGTGAGTTTGTATGAATGCTAGCGAAGCCACCCCTAAGGCGGTATATAAAGGCAGTTGTTAATCAATACAAAGAGAGTAGTATTATAAAGATTTCTTGTTATTCTTTAATCTACTTCTTTATTACCTACTAAATGAGTAGCAGCACCCATAATCTTTGCTCTCAATTAACTCAACTAATTCTACATTTAGGTATAACTATAATAATTAAAACTTACATTAGATATATAGAGTGGGTCACAAAAGTTTAAAGATCTCTTTCTTACATTATGAGTAGGTGGAAGAAACTTAAGTCATGATGATCTTTAGATAATACTCATTTGGGTTTCATGCTTCCCTTGCCAAATTAACATGGAAACAAGAATCAAGCAGTTTGCTTAGACGTCTATATTGACACATGTGTAAAAGGAACTATACCATCCATTTCATTCAGATTCTGCATTTCTACAGAACGACACTCAAGATGGTACATTGCATTATCGTAGTTATCAAATTTTGAAGCTTAAACCCCATTCTTTGATTAATCTTAGTTCAGAAAGTGGTTTGTATGTTCTTGGGAAAATTGAGGATGGTTAACCAATCTATGTCTACCCTGGATTTTACTCTTGTGAATTCACTAGCAGTAATGCAAATGATTACCAATTAACTCCATATGAAAGTTGAAAAGCTGGGTTTATACATATATATAGTTAAGTGATTATGGTTGTTGAAATGAAAAATATTTTTGAATGTTTTCAGGCGCCTAGCTACACCTCGTCGGAGTACAGAATTGACTTAGGCTCTTCTTCCAGATGCAAGAACAAGCTACCCAAACGAGCAACAACTGTAAATACCACTCCGGAAAGGGTTGTGAATCGACGTGAGTAACCTATCCTCACCCCTAGATCACTACTTGTGTTTATATATATGACTGTTGGATTAGAATTTCATTCTTTTTAAGTACGTTTTATGGACTGTTATTTCCTTTTTCAGCTCCTGACAAGAGGCATAGGGCACCTTCCTTGTACAATCAGTTCATCAAGTAATAGTATTATTTTTTTCTTCATTAATTTTCTATGATAAATGCATAGTTATACATAATAGCCTCTCATCTTTTGAAAACAAAAATTGGGATATCTATATATAGAGAGGAGATCCAAAGGATCAAGCTGAACAATCCTGATATCACTCATAGGGAGGCATTTAGCACTGCTGCGAAAAATGTAAGTGAAATTTCATCATCAACATCTTTTAAATAATGATCAAATAAATCTCATATTTATCGAAAATTGAAGTATAATCTGCAACAATACAAAAGAAGCTGTCCGAGATGATGTGGTATATAATTTATCAACATATCTCCATCATCAGATTTTCATTACTCGCAGTTGACCACTAATTACAGACTTTCATATCAGTGTTAATTTGATTTTGGTTACTCTACTATAGTGGGCACGCTTCCCTCACATTCATTTTGGACTGATGTTGGAGACTGACAATCAACCTAAGCTGAATGATGTAAGTACTTTCATTTAGAAGCAAAGTAATTTGGTGTAACTGCCTCTGTCTATACATGCATGCATATCTATTTTTCTATTTCAGAGGTCCAACATTTCTCCCTTTTTTTATTCATTTATGTTCTTGGATGCCCTCAGAAAGTTGTTTTGGGAAGGGGGGGGGGGGGGGGTGCGTTGTTGATGTTCCTTCCAAAGGAATTAATCTTCATTTGTCAGGCAAAGATGGGGGGAAAGGGAAGGGCTGATCAATTTTCATGATACAAATGTTAGTTCATTAACTCTTTTCTTGAATGTGGCCTTGCTTTTTTCATAGTTGACAACTATTCTATTGATAGAAATTGAATGCAATTGAGTTCATGCATGATTAATATTATTTATAACTCACTAATCATTTATTAATGCTATTAGATGAATCCATATATAACTAGGCCGAAATCCCTTTGGTACCCTTTATAAGCCTTATAAAGTCTTGAATGTCTAGACTTACAACTAGATAGATATATGAAAATGGTTGTTAAGGTAAATATCATAGATTGTTTCTAATGGAAATCCAGTTCATATTTCAGTTTTCTTAGATTGGTATAGTTGAATTATTTTGACCAATGTGCATGGCAACCCTCGATCATATACTGATTCACTGCTTGCCTTATATTCATCTAATTATTCTTCTCTTCTTCTTCTTCTTCAATGTTTCTGTGCAGGACTCGACCGAGCATTTCCAGCAGCTGCTGAAGTAAATAAATAGCTCGATTTTCGAAGATCATTTTAATTAGTGATATGTATGTTGGTGAAGTAAGAGGCTTTCATTATAATGATGGCCGCCTGAACTTAATTTTATTGGTTTTAAATGCATTTGTATGTGTTGCTTTATCCTTCAGTAATTTATGTAATGATTTGAAGTAATTAAATGATGACTGAAAGGGTTTCCACTATTTTAAATTAAGGCATTTTCCATTTCTCTGCAATATATGCTTATTGGAGTTTTAAACTCGATGGCTTATAAGAAATAACTTATCAAGTAAAAGTCCTAACATCATAATATTGATACGGTTGTAGCTAGTTGTCTTTTCTCTTTCCCATAGGAACTGGTTGATTTATATATATATATATATATATATATATGCAGATATTGAATTAATCGTTTATTTTCTGAAAATAATCAGATTTTTTCGGTGACTAAGATCTCATTAAAAGCTTTGTCTGCAAATTTTCAAGGTTTCCTGATTGCTTTACTCATCTTTGAAGCTCGAATCATTTGCCCTTTGAGCCATGCATGCGCCATCCTCCTCCGTAATGCTCCTGAAACACTCAACGTCCCAGGATCCAAATGCTACACTGCATGCCTGTCTTCAGTCTGCAGCATTTGCCAGCTTAGTTCGTACTTTCACAAGAGCATATGCCTGCACTAAATAAATTGCTTTGATCAGTCTTTCATTTCTTAAAATAACGTTATTTGCGCTCTCATAGGAAGAAGACACAATCAACAAAGCATTAATTCTTGGCAAAGCTCATGAATCACCTGGAATTCTCGTCTGTGGGAAAATTAATGGATACAGACTCCGTTGCCATTTTCTCAGACGCCACAAACTTTTCAGGCTTGGGGGATGTGTGGGTGCACATCTACTAAAGATTAGTTGTGCTAAAATACAAAAGTATGTGTGAAATATACAGTACAAACTACAAATAGCAGGCTATTAACTTGGTAGTCATTAATTATGTTCGTTGGGCTGCTGAAAAGTGTCCAGGACATGGAGTCATCACGCCCTGAAATCCGCAAAGTCTTAACAGAAGTAGGAGGCTGGCAGGCAGGCAGGCAGGCAGACAAAGGCTGAGGCCGACCTTTCGAGTCAAGTTTGGACCAAACTGATCCACGTATATATCCCCTCTTGTTCGGTCTCGGTAATGTAGTAGGTCCACCATTACTGTGCCTACGTCAACTCTTCGTACCGCTATTACCCTGTCAACATCCCATGATCTAAATTAGTTTCTTTGGATTGTAAGGTAAACTTATATGGAAATCAACTTTTTTTCCTTTTCTTTCTTTTTTGCGTATTAAAACATAGCTATATATTACCTTCTTCCACGTAACCCAGGCACGCGCCATTCACTTGCAAACCAACCGTTTCAAGCCCTCATGCATAAAGCCAAAGTGCCCAAACCCCGAGTAAACTCAAAAACACCAGCTCTCTCAGGAAAAACCCAATCCCGTCTTAAAAATGACCACCAGCCGCCGCCACCTTCACCACCTTCTACAACACCTGGAGCGACCAACTCCACCATCTCCTGAGGCAGCTCTGCTCGGCTCCCAAACCACCCACCATGCAAGACCACCTTCACCACTTGAACCACCTTGTCACCAAGCTCCTCTCCCACTACTCAGAGTACTACAGAGTCAAAGCTGCCGCCGCCGAACGCGATGTGTTCGACATTTTCGCCGCTCCTTGGGCCTCCTCTTTGGAGAAGAGCCTCCACTGGATTGCTGGGTGGAGGCCAACCACGTTTTCCATTTGGTTTACACTGAGTCTAGTATTTTGTTTGAATCCCGCATCGTTGATATTCTTCGTGGGGTTCGAACCGGTGACCTCGGTGACCTCTCTCCTAGCCAGTTCAGGTGACAAACTGCATGTCAAAGAAATTACCTCTTTTTTTTAATTATTATTAAATTTATATATTTTCATTAAAAACATAAATTTATATTTAATTCAATGTTAAGTGAATTTGATAAATGTGAAACAGGCGAGTGAGTGAATTACAATGCGAGACAGTGAAGGAAGAGAATGCTATTACTGATGAATTATCTGAGTGGCAGCACAGTGTAAGCGATCTTGTGGGCTCATTCACTAATGTTGAACAAATGATCGGACGGCTAGTAAGCATTGTTCAGAAGGCTGATGATCTGCGGCTAAGAACTCTGAAGAGAGTGGTGGACTTGCTGACCCCACAGCAAGCAGTGGAGTTCTTGATTGCTGCGGCGGAGTTGCAGTTTGGGATCAGAGAGTGGGGGTTGAATCAGGATCGCCAGGTGTAGTTTTTGGCGGTGTTGATTGATTTAGGATCGGACGGTGATTAGAGTTTGATTGATGGTAAATGAGCAGTGTGCATGTTTTTTCACGTTTAGGTGTATTTTTCTTTTTTTCTTTTTTTGAGGATTTGGATTTTGTATTATAAAACTTTAGGGGTGTTTGGGTGGCGTTTCAAGGCCGTCGTTTCGATAAAGGGGGCAGTCGTTCGTTGTTGTTGGCACCGTCGTTTCTTAGCTTTGTGCAACAGAGTGCCAACTGCCAAGTTAAGTTTTGGGGCACAATGACATATGCATACGTGTCTCCCTGCTGACTTGGTTGTAGCATGCACTGCGACACTTGGTTTTATTTATGCTATTGTACGTGTCTTTGTAATCTCAAAGGCAATCACTCAGATTAACCATTCAATTAGAATTAATTAAAAAAAGCAAGCATATTAATTAATTAATTATGATAATAAGAATTTTATAATTGGACTATTTATAATAATAAAATTTTAGATAGTAAATTATTACTCGTCACATACGAGTATTCGTGTGGATAAAACTTTAAATAGTGAAATTATTATTCATCAAAGATTTGGCAACAATGAAATTACAATTTATCAAAGATTCGGTAACCATTTGAATTTTTTTATAAATAATAATTTTTAATATTAATTTTATCTTTATATTTTTTATATAAACTATTTATATAATTAATATAAAATTTACTAAATTTATTAACAGATCTAAATATATATGATTTTAAATTTTAATTTATTTTTATGTTAATTTCAATTTTATCAATTTAATTTTGACTAATAATATATATAAATTGATTCTAAATTTACTTTTAATTTTAAGTTTGGATTTAGCTTCGGTTTTGGATTTTTTCCGAATATTAATAATCAGATTGGATATTAAGTATTGATTTTTAATTGATTTGGAGTAAAGGTTAAATTTTAACTATATTGAACTTAAATACTTCATAATTAATGGGTACCACCCACTAACCATTTCACTATCAATACATTTACAACTTGACTCTTTGCTAAGGACAAAAACATATCGTGAATTGAAAATTTTTTATATAATTTTATAATTACCTAATCAAATTTTTTAATATAATTTCATCATTTACTAGCACGAATTTTATTCAAAATTTTGATGTAATTCTATTAGGAGATACTATTAATGGTAAAATAACTCAAATAAATTAACAAAAATGATAAAATGAGGTTGGATGGGTAAAATTTCATGCCCTATTTCATATATAGCCTCATTAAAATAAGCCTTGGTCAGTAGATTTTTCCAAAAAAAAGATCATAAAGCTTCATCTTTAAGCCTTAAAACACTTGATTTCTTGGAAGACAACATCAATTGGCATGCATTATCAACATTCAACCTCACCCAACCTGTCCATTCAGACTTATCATCTAATAGATTGGAGGAGCAGCACCTTCCATTAAATGTCAGTGGACTTTCCTATCTACGAACAGTTTACATATTTATCGTATAACCTAAGGTCTAATTCAAACCAAAGACCTACTTTTTCGTAATAGTGAGCTACATGGTCAAATTCCAAGCTCTTTCTTTGACCTTGTGAGCCTTACTGAGATTCATCTTTCTTCAAACTAACTTAAGTGGCACGGTCTGAGTCGAATATGGTGTCAAAGCTCATGAATCTTTGGCCATTGAGCAGCAATGGAGGTGATGTTATGACCATACTTTCCTCGGGCTTAAGTCTTGGTCTACTCTTCTTGCAACATTCTTGAGATCAACATGGGAGAATTTTGATTTTCTTCCACGTCTCTCGAACAACAAAATTCATGGGAGTAGGAAGGATGGGAGCAACTCTTACTTTTTGAACCTTTCTCACGACTTTTTGACTAGCATACAGCAATTCCCTGGCAAGAAAAATTGAAATTTCTGATCTTCGTTCCAACTTTGGTCCAAGGACAACTTGTTTCTCTGCCGTTTTCTGTGGCCAATTCTTGATTTCGGAAAATATGTTGACCCTGAGTTATCCCATCCATGCTTTGCAATCTGAGTTCACTACAAGTTCTTGATTCGTTCATGAATGGCTTAAATGGGATCATTCTGTGATTGTGACAATGAAAGGTTTGCATGTTAGAGCTCATTGATTTTTCAAACAACCAGTTCGAGGGACTCATCCCTGAAGGACATGGAGAACTGAATTCACTGTTAGTTCTCAACTGCTCCCACAACAGTTTAATAGGCCATAACCCATCATTGCTGGACAGCTTAAGAATACTCGAATCCCTTGATCTATTTTTAAAGGAACTTGATGCAAGGATTTCTCTGCAATTAACATATCTGACATTTCTTGCAGTGTTAAACCTTTCTCAAAATATTCTCATGGAAGCAATTACTCGGGACAATTGGTTTGATACGTTTACGAATGATCATTCCTTACTCAGGTTTGTGTGGATTTCCATTGGCAAAGAAATGCAACAACAATGAGGAACCAGGGCCATCTCCATCAGTACTTTTTCAATTGCATTTAGTTGGAAGAACCTTTGTTCCATCTGTACAAGTCAAAATTAAATTTCATCACAAATTCACGAGGAAATTTATTACAATTATTTTTATGGAAAATTTTTAATAATTATTTTTTGTTGGAAAAAGTTTAATTTTTTATAATGTGATGACTAAAAATTCAAAATGATTAAAATTATTTATTGCATAAATGAGTAGAATTGGCTGTAAATTAACATAAATTGTTGAGTTTCTATTTTGTTACCAATCTTGTTGAAATATTTTATGGACAATAATAATACAGAAAAAAATTGAAGTTTTTTAAAATTTGATAGGTTTGTTTCTATATTTTAGAAAATTTTGGGGCCAAATTCAAAAATCAACAAAAAAATATATAAATGGCAACTCAAAACACTCATGAGACAGACATTTTAGGATCATCAATCAAAAACATTGCAGTTGAGCGCTTCATCATAACAAAGAAGCGACCGAGTCAAAAGTAAAACGAATAGAACCAAACCCCAACGCCCCCCAACCCACGCCAATCAATCACCTCCAGTTACATACCGCCACGTTTCAAAGACTCCAGAAATTATTCGCCCTTCTTCGCTTCCCTTCACAGCCTCGTCATTCTTACCGCTATCATTAATTTTTTCCCCCAATTTTTTTCCTCTTTTTTTACTTTCCCTTCTTCAAACAAAATCCCCCGTCTCTCTCTGAATCTCTCCTCTTCTAAAGAAAATTAAGCCCGAAAAGAAGAGTAAAGGGAGCCTCTTTGAAACGATGTCGTCTTCGTCGTCGTTGAGGAAACCTTCTTTCCTTTCACGGAGATTCTCGAGATCATTAAAATCGTCGACCAAAACGGCGTCGTTAGGGACAGTCGCGACCACGGTGAGTCAGCCTGAGTCTTCTTCTTCGTCGTCACCGCCTTCGGCGGAGGAGGGAGGTGAATCGTGGTCGACGATGCTGCCGGAGTTGTTAGGAGAGATCATGGAGCGCGTGGAGGCAAGTGAAGATCGGTGGCCTCAAAGGCAGAACGTCGTCGCTTGCGCGTGCGTATGTAAGAAGTGGAGAGAAGTTACGAGAGAGATCGTTAGGGCTTCTCCTCCTAGTAGTGGCAAAATCACGTTTCCTTCGTGTCTTAAACAAGTAATATGAATTTTCCTTTAATTCTCTTTAACGTTTTAATCATTTTTTTTCTGCTGTTTCATCTGGTTAGTGAACTTGAGATATTATTTCATCATCTGCCACTAGTTTTTCCCAGGTAATATCTAAAAAATATCATTAAAGTTTCAAAAATTTCTAATTTTGGGGGCTTTTAAGGGTTTTTTTTATATTTCAAATTTTTTGGATTTTAATTGTTTGGGAATTGGGATAATTTGCGGGGAGCTCGTGAAAAATTAGATTTTTTGGGTTCATTTATTTGAATTTTATTTTTCGGTAATGTGCTGTACAGTTAGATCTTATTGATTGATGCTTTTTTTTTAAAAATTTAATAGGGAATTTTAATATTGTGTATTTCTTCTCTTTAGTATTTTTTACTCCGTGTATTGGGTAATTTTAGAGAAATGTAGGAGACACAGAGGTTCAAAATTTTGAATCAAATGACATTTTTAAACGTTTGTTGGTCATTGGAAATTAAAAATTGGTGAAGCTTTGACCGTGTATTGTCAATTTTTAGCTTTTAACATGTTTTGCTTCCAAGAGAAACCACCAAAAATACACTTTTAATTATGTTGTGGAGGGAAATTATTCTCTGAGAGTTAGAATTGTTTTCTAGGCTGTTCGCATTTCAGTGATTGGTTTTTTCTCCTAATAATCAGAACACAGCTTGTTGCTATGAATTATCTGAAAGGAATTTGAAAACAAAATAAAGCATGTAGAATTTTCTGTCTTTTGCGATCTTTAAGTGTGTTTGTTTCACTTTTGGCTATTGGTGTGAGTTGGAGTTTTCAGAAATTGAGTTGCTTTTCTGGTTGCTGGTTATGAAGCTGAAATGTATTTGAGGATTTACAGTTGTCAGTCAATGGGTTTGTTAATATGTTTTGTGACTGATGGTTTGTTGCCTTTTGTTAATGCAGCCTGGTCCGCGTGATTTTCCTAACCAGTGTATTATAAAGCGGAACAAAAAGAACTCAACATTCTACCTTTATCTTGCTCTTACACCTTGTAAGTGATATTTTTGGTGTCATAAGCAAATCATGATAACAACATCTTAATCAAACTTGTATGGTAAATTACGTGCTAATAATATAGTTGACAATAAGTGAGAAGAGAAAAAAAAAGGTTGATAGGGACATAATCCACTTTGTCAAAGCCTCTAGTTGACTTTTGACTTTTGTCTAGGTAGAGAATAAATGTGACTGTCTTCCGACCTAATACCTTTGCCTAAGTCAGCTTGACTTGGTCTTAATCTTGAAAATTCTGAATGGTCAACAAAGACAATCGATCTACTTATTGGTCTTACACATCCATTATCTTTAAAACTGTAAGGAGATGTAGTCCATTGGAGTTTGGACCTGTCTGTACTGTACACAGCATGTTATCATCTTAGATTTGGATTGTGATTTGTTACAGTGCCCCCTACCCTTCTGCGGATCTTCCCTGTTTTTCTGTCTCTCTGTATCTCTCTCGATCTAAAGAGATACAAATTAGTATTAATTTCTTCTTTAAAGTGGCAAATTTGGCAATGGAAACTATGCAGGAGTAGTAATCATTTGTCTTTTCCGTTACATTAAGCAATTACACTTCCTAAAGAAGTCCAGGACATCAATCTATTATCGAGTCTGATGTCCTTTTTAGCTTTATACCTTGCATACCCTTAGCCAAATTGAAGTATGTTGCATTAAATGTGCAAGCAACCATTTTTCTCAAAGATGTTGGCAGTTGAAAACCTCTATAATTTTGTTTATTTTCTTTTTTATGAGGTGCAACATCGCTCGCATTAAAATATTGGGGTGAGCTTCTCATACCCAAAATGATTCTCATCATTTGCATCTCTATAAGTTAGTTGCTCTTTATTTACAAACTAAGGCAAATTCTGTTCTTGTGATTTTAGTTCTTGAGAGCAAATCTTAGGATTTTACTGTTTTTAGCCAATCAATTGCAGTTCTCTTCCTTTGTTTTTGTCATCGTGCAACTGGATGATGTTAGTGGTTGAAATCAGCTTATTGTTATTTTTTTCCCGATCCTTTGCAGCATTTACCGACAAGGGGAAGTTTCTATTGGCAGCACGAAGATATCGACATGGTGCTCATATTGAGTATATTATATCCCTTGATGCGGATGACCTATCCCAAGGCAGTAATGCCTATGTTGGGAAGTTAAGGTAAGAGATTTAACTTTAAGTTTAGGTGAGGTATTTTGTGATATGGTCCTTCTGTTTCTGGAACTCAGTTAAGAGAATCTGCCCTTTGTTTTAGTGGATATGGTTTTCATAAAATTTCTATTAATGTAACCCTTTTAGGTACGAAATTCTTGTCTAGTGGCAGTGTGAATTTTTGCCAGAATCTTTAAGCATAAAAGGGGTAAGGTTGACTTCTTATCCTTCTTTTGTGCGAGGCAAAGGGTTCCTTGGTTACAGAGTGTAATTAATGTCTGTCAGCATATTCTGATTTACCTTGGATTTTTCTGTTCACATACTGCACTTCATACGTGTTCATTGTTTGGACCACATTTATCATATAGAAGCTGTAGCCTGAAATTTTCAAACTAGTGACTGCTGTTGTGGAATGGATCTCTCTTTTTTATGTATTTTCTGTTTCTTAATAGTAAAACTATCTTCTTTGGCATGTCTGGTGTCATGCAAAGTCACCATGCCATACAATTTTAGTTCATTTTCTTTCTAAAGGATGCAGTTTTTGAGTGTCATTAGAGTAAGTAAAAGTGCTCTGAAGCGAGAAACTTTAGTATTTAGTAATAGGTGAGATAATCATGAAGTTGAGAGAGCATTTGGGAGATGGCTTATATGGTGGGAATAGCACTATCTTGATTTGATGACACCATTACTTATTTATTTTCTGTCTTGTTAAAGTAAAGATTGAAATACTTTCAGAGTTCCTTTTATGTACTGTAGCTTACACTCACATTAAAATCTTTGCAGTTCGGATTTTCTAGGCACCAACTTTACGATCTATGATAGTCAGCCACCCCACAGTGGTGCGAAGCCCTCAAGCAGCAGAGCCAGTCGCAGATTTGCAAGTAAGCAAATCAGCCCCCAAGTGCCAGCTGGCAATTTTGAGGTTGGACAAGTGTCTTACAAGTTCAATCTCTTGAAATCAAGAGGTCCAAGGAGGATGGTTTGCTCAATAAAATGCCCTTTGCTGGAAGAAAGGGCTGATGACAAGCATTTAGATGACTCCAAGATGAAGATGCCAGAGTATGCTGCCTCTGGTCAAACAATTTTGAGGAATAAAGCTCCAAGATGGCATGAACATTTACAGTGCTGGTGCTTGAATTTCCATGGTCGGGTAACAGTAGCATCTGTGAAAAACTTCCAGCTGGTTGCGACTGTGGACCAGAGCCAACCTGGAGGAAAAGGAGACGAGGAAACAGTCCTCCTCCAGTTTGGGAAAGTAGGGGATGATACATTCACCATGGATTATAGGCAGCCCTTGTCAGCCTTTCTAGCTTTTGCCATCTGTCTTACAAGCTTTGGCACAAAATTGGCTTGCGAGTGATATATATATTTCCATGTATAATATATATTTATATTATAGTGACAAGTTATCCTACATGTTTAATATAATTATGATTCTACTGAATGTCACTTTGAAAAGTTTTGGACAGCCATGGTTTGTTGGGACAAAGCAAATCATTGTACATGTTCCTATGTATCTACAGCATTTTCTGAAATTATTGGCTGCCAACATATACTGTGAGTATCGTTCATTTTACATCAACATGAAAGCACTTTCTGCAGTTTATTGTGTCTTGAATTCCGGGGGTCAGGATTTTGAAAATTGAGTTGACAAAAAGCAGGACCTTGGCTTTGCAGAGTAAAATAAGAGGTTATGAATCCCTTCTCTATTCTTTTAATTTTTTTCACATTGGAGTTGGTGATAATGGGGCAAAGTAACAACAAAGGCGTGTGGTTAGTTCTAGCTGTTTGTAATTGTCAACTCTTTCTTTTGGCCTTTTGCTTTGAAGGAGTTGAACACGCTTAAGCAGCAATTTATTTGCTAGATGTTTTGGTCTAAAAATGTACTTGTCAAATGTTTTTCCAAAGTCTACCGTTTTGGGCTATATTGAACTAATTTGTAAGCATTTAGGGTAAATAAGAGTATTCCTATTTCAAATTACAATGAATATAATAATTTTTAGCACAAAGGATTCTTGGACAACAGAGTGAGAATGGGATTTTGGTTCAATACCATGAACTTTCCACCACCCAATGCCAAACCCCATTTCACAAATTCTCAATCCTGATGGTGATGGGCACTTTAACCAGGCATAGATAATGGAATATACTTTTTATGTTCATGCATGAGGCATAAAACCAAACCTAATGTTGTGTATTGTTCTAGAATTAATTATGATTACTTGCCCCTCAATTTGTCCAAAGTAGGTAGACATCTGAAATCTTCCAAAAACCTAATTTTAGGGGGCAATGTTTTGTTATTATTGTTTGAATAACATCAGGAGTCAAACAATGGTGTATAAAAGTTTTTAAGTTGTTGGGTAACAAACGACATACAAAATCTGATTCCACACTTCCTTGGGTCTCCACCCTATATGTGATGCTCATTATATCATGAAAATGTATATTTTATTGATAAATATAAATTTTTATTCATTTTTCCCTATCCACCTCTTGTCAAAAAGGAGAAGAATATCATGTTATTAAACTTGAGTCTCTTAGCTTTTTATGGCTTTGCTTGAGAGGTAAATAAAACAAGTGAAAAGGATATTGTTTTTGCCAATTAAATTGTAGCTGGTAGCAAGAATTGTTAAGTGGATGGAAAAAGAAACATTGTTTCTATTTGACTATTTCACTTGATAACCTCATTCCAAAGGAGGCAGCAAGCAAATCCATGTTAATATAATATTTCCAAGCATAAAATTCCAATTGCAACAAGTTAAAACGCCAAACATATTGTTATTGGTGTTTTTAACAGCTGAACTCTTCATCTGTATTACCAAAGGGGTGTCTCTGACGGAAATTATTCGAAATGGACAACAGCAAACCACAAACAGCACAGAAAATCCCATGTAAGAGTCAAGAACACACACTCTATTTCAGTCTAGTCATCACACGAAGTCAAAGACATTGTTCTTGCAAGCGAGCCATAACAATGGTAGATAACGTTCATTTACACCACCAAGATTTAGGCCACAGATGCTGGATTAGATTTGAGTTCTGTTTGATGTTTACTACAAGACCTGCCTCACTTCTTCCCTCGCAGCTTTGTACCAAGAGCCCTCTCCAATTTACCAATTATCTGTTGATTAGGAATGGCTTTTCCAGATTCGTACTCTTGTATAATCTGGGGTTTCTCATTGATCACCTGTTGGATGACAAGACAGATTCAATCAAATAACTTAAAAATTATAGATGTTTCATCATAATCTTAGGGCATCCATGCATGGGCATTCATAAACAGACACAGAGAGAGAGAGAGAGAGAGAGAGAGACCTGAGCAAGTTGAGCCTGGGTAAGTTTCTTCTCCATTCGAGCCTGCATGATGGCTTTCTTTAGTTCAGTTGACACTCGATCATCTGTTCATAAGTTTAAACACCAACAAAAATTTAGAATGGTTTTGTCTTAAAACGCAAGGTGCTACACAAGTTGCAAACTGGTGAAAAGATACACACTAACCATGGCAGGTAAGAACATGAATCATATGCATATAAGGTTTACAAATTATTAGAGGCCAGGTTTACGATATAGCATTAGAGTAAAAGTATGTAAATGACAAACCATATCACTTGTTACGGAGGATATTTCCAATGGTTGTTATAATAGAATATGGAAAATTACAAAAGCAATATGTAGATTAAATCATAAAAGCATAATTGAACTCCCAATGTGATTAATATAGCACAAAACGAAGTCAACTTGCACATGACCAACAACCCCGACACTCTAGAACAATATGCTGTCCAACTGAAGCAATGAAATCCTTCTACGGTCAAGAGGGCAAATATGCATCCAACACCGCCAATGCCAGCCAACCATATCTCAATTTTTTTTCACAAAAAAAGAAGAACATAAAAATGAAAGTACGCAAGCAAGCGAGACATTTTAACAAACCATATTGGTGCATTTCAACTCCCATTCTTTAAACCCACAAATAAAATTAAATTCATAGAACCTCTCTCTGTTTAACATTGCAAAACCATCTGTCAAATCTCTTCTGCTCATAAGTTAATTTAAAACTACTAGTCTTTACCGATGATACATTCCCTAAAGCAATCAGCAGTCATTACCTGGTACTGCTTTAAAACTCGTGTAAAACATACAAACATTAAAATCCATCCCAACATATAAATTCCGAAGGAAGTTTTATGTATTACTATCATACATAAATCCATTACCAATTCATCTGTAAATAGATTACAAAATTTTAGAAAAAACAGACAAAAATATATATAAGAAGGAAGGAATAAAATATATCTTACGAGTAAGAGTTTCAGTTTCTTCATCAAGCTTCCTGGTGTTCAAAGAAGTACTACTTGATGCTGCCCTGTTCGTCCCAGCATTTGCTGCAAATTCCCATTTACAAAAAAATAGAAATTTTATAATTTCTTTTTTTGCATTAAGAAAAAAAAAAGAACCCTAGTACTTATATTGGTATTTTGGTACTATGATCTTATTAAATGCTGCGATTCGACAACAAAACCAAAAAAAAAAAAAAACAGAGAAAAGAGAAAGAAAAGAACACATTTTTTGATGGATTCGATCTCGGCGCCTGCCCGACGGGCGGCGTTGACGACTTTCTCATCCTTCTTGGCGGCGGCGCTTGGGGCCTTTTTCCGAATAACCACCGGTTCCCAGTCTTGAGTTAAAGGTCCGATTCCGGCCATTGGTTCTGTTGTCTTAACCTTTTTTTTGATTCGATTTGGGTGTAAGGTAAAGGAATCCAAGTGTCTTAATTTGTTAAACTAAATTTGTTCAAAGCGAGCGGCCATATCTCATTCTTATATACAGATATGACGTGGCAGTAAAATCAAAATCCCTGAATTTAATTGGACTGGGCTTCTTGACAGAGCCCTAATCCCAATCAGGGTCTGTTGTTTCTTATTTTATTTTATTTCAAATTATCTCGAATTTAAATTCTTGTATCCTCGAGAGTAACATTAAGGAGTCTCGAGATGTCGATAACGACACTCAGAACAGTTATCTTTTGTATTTAACGGCACGACCCAGCTGGAAATGACTTAGCCAGAGGAAAGCGTGAACTTATACAGAATCCAGATGTTAGAAATGGTTAAACACTTCATGAAGCAATACAGGAATGATTAAACCAAAGGAAGGTAAAGCAAGTATGAATTGGTTCAGGTTGCAGGAAGAAGAGGATGCAATGGTAGCTATACAACAAGTATAGGTTATAAACCAGTAATTACATCATTGAATCAACTGTTGGTTCCTTCTAAATAATCTAATACCCTGTAATGTCTTGAATGAAGCTGATTAAGCTGTCTACCTACTTACCAGTCTGGAAAAAAACCAAACTGCCAAAACTGCATTTGAACCTTCAGCAAGATTCCTGAGCCAACAGAATCCAAATGGCGATTATGCAATGTTAACTTTCAGTTGTCTACACAGTTTCTTGATAAAAATATTTCTACTTCAACTTGTGAGCAATCCTCATGCTGCTCCTCAATACTTGAATTCTCCACCTCAATATTGTCTAAAAATTGTTTTCCGTAATCGAATTCTGCTGACAACTTATACTTATCAACAAAGAACAAGACAACTGCCAGCTTTAAAAAGAAGAGAATTATATAATTGAGAAACTCAGTTATAAAAACGATGTCTTGTAGAGCTTAACCATTTTAAAAGGTGTAAAGCATAATGATAATAGTAAAAAAAAAAGACCAACTATCTCACCAGGGAATTTACTGCTTTATTTAATTTGCTCCGATACTCAAAGCAATGTTTTCCAGATTATTGTCTTTATTGGGTTCTTCATTCAAAGTACTCTGCAATGTGAAGAAGCTACTTAAGGAGAGACAAACGAGGGCAAAGAGTTGGGGATTCCACAAAGCCATAAAGGAGGAAATGCTCAACAGGGGTGCATTACTTACCTCACTACTTATCAAAGCGCTATTATTTTGATGTGCATTGATATCCTCTTCTAAAGCCGATCCAGAATCTGTTTTGTCTGTAGGACCATCCAGCTCATCCTTGTCACAACTAACTTTTCCATCAAGCTGACGCTGCATTTGTTTAACTCAAACCATTAATAGACAACAACATCACAGTTAGAAGGTATTATACATGAACAATACCTGTGACAAGTCCTCTAATGAATGACTCAGAGGCTCACTCTTTAACACAATTGATGGAAGACGGTCAATATCCCAACCAAGAACCTTACAAATAACCAGCCCAAAAGCTCTATGAGCTCGCTTCTTTTTCGTCTTTGATATTGCAGTAGAATGCTGAAGAAGCCCCACACAGTCTTTAAAAGTCCTCCAAACTTTCTTCCCAATCCCACAACAGACCAAACAACAGAAATCCCCACCTCTACAGTTGGTCTCATAATAACTTCGTAGTTCATTGTTCTCTGTGAAAAGCCTCAGAAAGAAATTGAACTCCTTACATTCTATAGACCCATCTTCATCCATTAAATCATCTTCATCTTCATCATCAACTTCACTATCATTTTCATCAGAGTCAGATTCATCAGTTGTAGACAAGAAATGTTTACAACCTTCAAAGACATTACGCTGCAACTGCACTATGTTGAATCTAGTCTGCTCTTCAGCAGGAACCACAAGAGTGACAGGAGCAGTACAAGGCTCAAAGCTGGGCCATCCCATAATTGTTGAAGTGGACTCATCAATAGGTTCTATGCAGGGCCATTCAGCACTTGGGATCTGTGATAAGCCTAATCTCTGCATTATACACATTCCAAAACAAATTTTGTTTTTGATAATTCCAAAATGATTAACCCTTTTTTTCCTATTTTCACATTCACAAGAAAGGGGGGAAGTGGGGAAGTGATGGAATATGAAAGAAACACTTACCATCAATTCACAATTACTCTGATCAATACCAGAAACCTCATTTTCAACTGATTCACTACCATCAGCATTCACAGACTGAGTACCCAAAATAAAATTCAAATCATCCCCCTTATCCTGCCAAATTCAACATAATCCAATCCTGTGAACTTGGAAAACCAAAATTAACCAATGCATGAATAATGTCAGAATATGAAGCATTGCAAAAAGCCAAAACTTGGGTAAAACTAAAGAAAAGCATATTTTGTCAAAATTGAGTAAATAAGGTAGGCTTAGTATTTTATGGGAAAAGCTTAGTTTCAAAATTAGGCTTTTCAGCAACTATTGGCATATCCTTAAATCATCTGTTGTCCTTCTTTCTGCAAATAAGTCATGAGATTAAATACTTGCAGATCATTAAAATTTAGGAAGCATCATTATAGTGCTCTTAGGAATGAAATGAAGATGAAGGCGATGATATTGAGTTTACAAGCAAAATAATAGTGGTAACTCTAGTATTCCTGATCACTTCCATGAAATGTCAACCCTAGACCTACATTGTTGTACAACTATTATTATCATTTTTTTTGGAAAAGAAATTTCAGCTATCTAAATTGTCTTTCAAATCAAAACCCTCATCTTTCATGTAATCAGTAAAATTACAAAAACTAACTATCTTGGAAGACACAAGATTACACAACTAAACTTCATGCGGTTGGTTTTATCACATTGTACGATGATCACTACTATCACAGCATTGCAAAAGGGCATAAAAAGTACTAACAAAAAAAATACATAAAGTCTAACCACACAGTTACATGCTCCTTTCTTGACTTCCACATCTGAATTTTCAGTTTCAATATTTCCCACATTTTTAATCCAATCATCTCCCTTTAGCGTGTTCTGCTACTTAACACAATTAGAATACAAATCTTTATTTAACTTCACATCTCATTCCTAAACTTACATTCCACAAATTGCACATTAAATTAAGCAGATAATCCAAACGCCCTACTCATTTCACAAACCATCTTTCCAGCATTACTCCTTTCAAGCCTAGAAACCTTACCGTTCACAGGTTTATATCAACTATAACTATTCTCCCCATAATTCTACAAATTATTCAATTCAAACCATCTAGAAATTATTCAAATAATATGCAAGTAAACTCAAAAAATGTCGAACTAAACACAAGAAATTTACCTGGGTCAAATCCGCCAAACTACGACTCAAAGGCTCACCCTTCAACAATATCACAGGCAACCTATCTATATCCCAACCAAGAACCTTACAAACGACCAATCCAAAAGCTCTGTGCCCTCTCTTTCTCTTGGTTTTCAATATAGACATACAATGTTGTACAAGTCCAACACATCCTTTGAATTTCTTACCAACATTTTCACCAATGCCACCACAAACCAGACAAAAAAACTCACCTTTCTCATGATTCTCCTCATAGTAACCCCTCAAGTCACTGTTATTCACAAAAATTCCCATAAAAAACTTGTCCTCCTCACCGTCTTCTTCTTCTTCTTCTTCTTCTTCTTCGTCTTGACTTTCTTCATCGTCAACAACCCTTTTGTTGAAAAATTCTTTGCAACTTTCAAGAACCTTGCTTTGCATTTTCAAGGAGGAAAACCTCGCTTGGTCTTCAACTGAAACGGGTTTGGTCGGGTGGTCCGGTTTGCACTTGGGTTCTGGCCATCCTGGAGATGAAGGTGGTGGAGGCTTGACGAGGGTGGACCAGTCGGGTCCATTGTCTGGTTTGGGTGGTGGGTAGGATCCTGAAGTGGCAAGCCTTTTGCTTTTGTTGGTGGGATTCCGTCTTAAGGGTCTGGGTCTTTTCTGGGGGATTGGGTTAGGGTTTTGCGGGGGACCTTGGTGCCAGAGAGAGTGCAAATAGATTACTTCATCTCTTAGCCTCTTCTCATCGTATGGGTTCATTGAGAGAAGGTTTTTCTTTTTTTTTTTTTTGGGTCTTTCTTTATTTGTTGAGAATTTTTCAATGAAAATTCTCAGGCTTGAATGAACTGTCAAAAATCTTCTTAGTTGGAGGCCGGAAAAGAGAATGTAAGGGAAGTGGAAACGTGGGGAAGGAGGACAAAGGAAAGGAAATATGTTTACATTTTTTTTATTGGAAAATACGTCGAAAAAATGTTAAAAAAATAAATTTTGTCTTTTTTATTTCACCATTACTTTTAATTTTGTTTATTAAATCAAATCAGCCCTTCTCTCTTTCTCTTTCAAAAAATAAAAAAATAAAAAAATCCATTAAAAATGGCAAAATTATCCACTCACGTCCTTTTATTTTTACCCCACCCTTCCACTTTTTCTAGTTTTCTCACCTTCCAAACACATTGACGGCTTAACAAGAAACTCCCATTAAACAGTAAACACCAACTCCGCAGCAGAACTACCAAAAATGGCGGGAACCCAGTAAACCTCTCATCTTTGTTTCCATGCTAAAGCTCTCCTCTACCCTTACAATCCCCGCTAAACCCAAAAGTCCTCCTTTATTCTTCTACTTCCCCAGACCAAAACCCCAAAAAGCCCCAACCTTTTTTCTCCCCTTTCTTTTCACTTTTGGAAACAAACGAAAAATGTCGGCCAAAATTATAGCTGAGTATGCCAAGTCTGGCAGGTCCTCTTGCAAGAAATGTGGCAAAGCAATAGCTGCTCAGGCCCTGAGGTTGGGCCTTGTCACCAGAGATTTAAGAGGCTTTGACATGACCAAATGGCATCACTTGCCTTGCTTCTCTGAAAAGATCGATTCTGTGGATGTAATTAAGGGCTTTGACTTACTCAAGGTTGAACCTTTTTAGCTTTTCATTTGCAGCCAAATAGATTAAAAATATTTGGGTTTGGATTCAAAAGTGGTTTTTTTTGGTTTCAGGGTGTTGATCAGGAAGCTTTGAAGAAATTGGCGGATGAGTCTGATGAGTTGACGGAGCAGGTACTTAGTTAAATTTCTGTGAATTATGATTGCAAATGCGAAATGGTGTTATCTCTTGTTGGTTAACTTTTGAGTTTAGTAGTTGGTTAGAGCTTGACGCTTGACAACAAGCTGAGTGTGATTTGAGGAATAGTGTTTCAGTGGTGTCCAAGAGGAGTTCTGTTCAGTGTTTAAGGTTTCTCTGTGCTCATGACTCAGGAGTAGAAGTATATATCTGTTTTACTCTCTCCTACCTTAAACTCTATATTATGAACAAATAAGTAAATTTTAACTAAAACAATGCTTTTTTTCCTCCATACCTTTGTCTTTTTTGTGCAGCATATTCTATAATATATATTGGTAGCAGGTTAGAGTTTAAGACCGAGTTTTGTGGTTTGAAAGGCGCACATTACTTCAGAAGTTTTGATTTTTCAATTGAGCAGTTGTGTATCTATCCTAGAATTTGAATGTAATGGAATTTTAGTCATTTGCAGTTACAATGTTCTTGCTTTGTCGTGGTTTTCCCCTAGATTGGATAGTTGACAAAAATTTTCCTAGGTTTTACTCACTTGCTAATATGTTTGGTTTTCTATTTTTTTTCTTTCCTTTTTTCATGGAGATGAAGAGGCGATGCTTTAGGTGTATTTTTGAGGGTGCAAAAAGACCAAATTAAAATTATGGGTTTTCCACTTCATCTTTGTAAGTTTATGAGTATCCTTTACCTATTCTTACATTATTTAATAAACAGTTGAAGGGAAAAGATGAGGATGAAGAAGAAGAAATGGAATTGGAGAAAAGTAATTCAAAGAAAATTAAGGTAAGGGGTTCATCCCTTTCCACTTTCTTACATGGTGTAGAGACCTTCAGAAAAAAGAAAAGGAGAAAAGGAGAATAAGTTTTTATTTTCACCTTTGTACTTGCACTTTGTATCATTTATCTGTAGTATTTTATGTCATATCCTGCACCATTTGCAGAGAACTGATAAAGACAAAGAAAATAATGATGTAGAGGAAAGTAATTCAAAATTAAGGGGGCAAGTTATCCTTTTCCTTCAAGTGACTCAAGAAATATGATTGTGATTACCTTTTATGAGTTCCAACTTCAAAGTCTGCCTATTTGACTGTGGGCTAATTTGGGATGGACCAAAAATTTGTGAAGTGTGACTAGTTTGTGTGGTTAATCCTAACTTTTATGTATAATTGCCTATGTATTTGTTTGAGTTCTTGATGTTTGTGTAGTTGTCGAGCCCAACGATTGATCAGCTTTAACTTTTATGTGCTCTCAACTAGTTGTCAACGCCAGATGAGAAAGCTGTGATGGACATAGCCTTTTCTGTCTCTGATGTGAAGGATAAGTATAAGGTATGGCATATTTTGCTTGTTATATGATATGTTTTAGAAACTTAACATATTCTAAACAAGTTTCTTTATTTGAGATCAAAGGTCTATATAATTATTGAAAAATTTCTGTTTTACCTATTTTTATATTTTTATCTTTGCTTTAGGATGCTGCATTAAAACCAAAATGGAAGGCATTCCAAACAATCATATTTCTTGAGCAGGTGAGATACCAGTCAAATAGTACAAAAGAGATATGAAGAAGAAAAAACTTGGCTGCTTTCATAATGGTGGATACCGAAGTTTATTACTTGATTTAATCTTGTAGATTCTAACTACTTTTATTAGCTAGATATTTATTATCATCACTTTCATCTCCTTCATCATTTTATGCATTTAATCTTTGGTGGCATATCCAAATAATTCTAATGTCGAAATGTAATCTAATCTTCTTGACTCAGTCTTCCTTTTAGTTGATTTGTTGGTAAGGAGCACTTCAGTTGTAAGGTGCATCTCCTTTCATCTTTCTCAGGATGATGGTCTTCATGATTCGGGTAAAATTGCTGCATTTGATTTTGACGGCTGTCTGGCTAAAACATCTGTTAAAAGGTATGATTGTATGCAGTTTTTGTGCATTAAATTATGGCTATTAAACATATATATGCACATGCATACATATGAAATTTCATAAATCTTACATGCATCGGTATTGGATGAATGAAGTAAATGATTGCTTTTCTATCAGTTGATTTCACATTGTTGTTAAATGAGATTCAAATTCCACTAGTTTGTTCTATGGCACGCACTTGCATGCTAATTTTTAACTTGTTTTTGGTTCTGAATGATGTTGCTTTTTTTTAAGCCTTTATTCCTCCTTTTCCATGCCATGTAACTTGATAGAATGTAATATAATGCAACATAGTTGCTCAACAGGGTTGCAATTTTCTTTTTCATTTTTATTTCATTTATTTGTTTCTTCATCTTGTGATTGGTTCAGAACAATCTTGTTAATGTAATCTTCTTTCTGTACTGAAATGTCTCAAGATAAGTTAGATCCGGTGAAGAAAAGATAATTTTTTTGATAGAGACCTTAGATCTGGAGGAAGCATCTGGTCACATATCCCACTTCCTGAACGGTAAAGGAACGGACTCAGTCGCCCCTCTAATAGTTTAGATAGAAAGGTTGAAGAGGAACGGAAGTAGGGGTCTCACCCCAGTATTCATTATCCCATTACCAAGGCCATACTCAGTAGCCATAGCTTTGTTGCACTGCCCACTGCTATTTTAGTCCCCGTTCAGTTTCCCCTATCTTTATTGAGTTCGACCAGTTGTGAATTCAGTAGTAGATGAGATATTGGAGTCTTCAGCTGTGTTAAACGGGATCTTCATTTTACCCTAACATACCTGTGTCGGATACTTTTTGGACACTTTACTATTTATATGAATATGACACTTACATCCTCATTATTAATGTAAAAGGTTGTAAAAAACGGAATGTACCTCTGTCCAACACCCTTTCCCGAGTCCATGTAACTTAGGTCTTTAGTGATTAACCTAAGCTAAACCAAATCAACCAAAACCATGGGGAGGCTGGAATGGGATTTAGAGGTTTAGGAGTTAGAGGGGATAATGGGAAAATGGAAATGGCTATTTTGCCAACAAAATGTAGAATGGCCATGGGCCACTCTATAATGCCAGTCCAATCCTATGTGCTGTGCTTTAACCATCAAATTGAAGCCGCAGATCACTTTTTTGAACTGATAACTATATTTCTTGGTTTTCAGAGTAGGGGCAGATGCTTGGTCCCTTATGTATCCTTCAATACCAGAGAAGCTGCACAGTCTTTATGAAGAGGGCTATAAGCTGGTTTTGTTTCTTTTTCTTCTAAAAGCTTTCTGGCTGTTTATTTTCTATAACAAAATTATTATCCTAGTGCATTTGTTAATTTTTTTCTTGTTGTGAATTCTGTTTTACAGGTAATCTTTACAAATGAATCCAATATTGAGCGCTGGAAGAATAAAAGACAGCTAGCTGTGGACTCAAAAATTGGACGTCTCAACAATTTCATTAATCAAGTAAAGGTTCCAATGCAGGTTGGGGTTGATCCATTTAGTTACCTTTGCTATTCCTCTATAAAAATCAAGTATTTCCTAACTATTTGGACTTCTCAGTAGAACCAAATCCCAAATCATTTCTGGTGCCGAACTTGTCCAGATTCTATATTGATCACCATTATGGTGCTTCATGAAATAATTGCTTCCAGGCTGCATCTCAATAGTGTTACACTGAGAAGAGTGGCAAAATGCATTCATCTAGCAAACCCCAACTAAATTAAGGTTTATTTGAATTCAGTTAATGTGCTGCTTAAGGCTTCCGGCAAAATATATATAGAGTATTAATGGGGATGTCCAGACTTTGCTGTAATCTGGCTCTTTAATATACATTTTAAATGGTTTATAAATAAAACGACTCACTCTTTAGGTATCATTCTCTGGTATCTGAAAATCTTAATTTCGTGGTCACTCCATTATGATGCTATCTGAACAATGAAGTACACATCACCATATTGATTTCTGGAATGATTGAATCATCTATAATAAACATCTGACCATGATCTTCTTACTTGCTTTCATGCTTTTTTTTTTTGTTATGAATGCCACCATTCTGCTGAATCAAGCTGGATTTTAGGGGATTGTTTCTGTCTCTCATTTTGTTCTGATGGCCTAACGTGTCTGAAGCGCTCTACTATAATGTAGAATACTACAAATTTGAAAGGTCTTCAGTTGTTATATATGCGTGCAGGTTTTTATAGCTTGTGGGTTAGGCGGTAAAGTAGATGATCCTTTTCGAAAACCTAATCCTGGGATGTGGCACATTATGGAGAAACACTTCAACTCTGGCATTCCAATTGATATCAACCAGTTATTTTTCTCTTACTTATCTCGTCTTCCTCTTCTAAGCTTTTAAGTAATTTGACTTGTACTTGTTGATAGTGATATGGAAATTTACTTAGTGTGATAGCATGATCTGGTTGCTTAACTTTGTGATTTAGCAGAATGGAACATTGATCTGACAGAAGCTCTGATTGTCTGAATTTTAGATCTTTTTATGTTGGTGACGCTGCTGGGAGACCCAATGATCATAGTGATGCTGATATAAAATTTGCACAGGTTTCATTGAACTTGTCCATGTTACTGATATTTTATTTTATTCTCAAAAATCATCAGTTTTCAGTTATTGATATTTTATGCAAAAACATGTCTTCTATGCCATTTGGCAGAGACTGGATTATGGAAATGCTCTCTTTGTGCTATTATGCTGATTAACACAATTTTGCAACCTTTTTCATGGCCTTGCTGTTGTTTCCTCTTAGCTTCGCAATAATGTGCAAGACACCATGGTCATTTTAATACCCATTTTCTAAACTGCCCTGTTTTTTTTCCACATGTCAATATGTGCCTCTTGGGTGCCTGTATTATTGATATGGAATGGTTAAGTCTTGCACTGAAGTTTTTGCCAGGAAGAGAAAAGACGTGTGCGACTTCTTTTGAAATAGTTCTAACAAAGATATCCACATTAATCAATATGAGTAATCCAGATTACTAGTATCATCATGTCTAGAAGCATTAATTTCATAGCTATCGAAAAGTTTAAAGCTTATATATATTAAGTAAACATATTTAGTAATTCTTTCATATCACGTGAAAAATGTGCGAAGTTGTTAGATATGTGAAGGCATTCACTCATTGTTGTTTCATTAGTTTCTAGTAGTATACAAAATATTAATTATTGGTTCAGCATGGTCAACAGAGTGATTTACATGATTTTCTGTTGGTTGCAGGCGGTAGGATTGAAATTTTATGTTCCTGAGGAATACTTCAGTACTTGAGTGAATTTTTTATTGTAGCTCCTGATGCACAAAGTAGCAACGTTGTTGGCCTGTGGTTCTGTATTATTTATAAGCCATACTCATCTTGTCTGATGTATCTTTTTAACAGCAAAGTCTGTGCAACACAAATGTCATCGGAGATTATTATGCTTTAAAGTAATTTATTTTAAGGCCTCTCTCTCTCTCCCTTAGCAGCATATTTTTAAGTGAGAATAAAACCAACTTTGCAGCCACTATCCCAAAAAACAGAGCACATTCTTTACCTACAGTCCGGAGAGCAACAGTGAGTTTCCCATGCTAATCAATAATGGAATCAGCTTTCCTGTTTAGAGCCGCTGAATCATCCCGACTGGCTAGCCTGGCAGTTGGAAGTTGACATGATGCATCAAGCTATGCATCAACGACCGTTAGAAGTTTCATTGCCTGATTTTGCAATCTCATCTTGATGGAGTGTATGTTAAGATCTAGTTTAGCATTTCAGCAACAGAACCTGAAACCAATAGCTAATGTAACTGAAATGTATAGAGGGCATAACCTCCAGTGGAACCAAACTGAGCTTTTCTATAATGCCATCTATTTTTAATAGGAGTAACAAGTTAAAAATACACAATTTATAACCCACATAATGCAAACAACAATCCCTCTGAACACTAATAAGCCGTGGGATTAACCCAATCCTCAATGGTTAAGTTGATCCAGATATGCCAATAGTGGGAGGGGACGGATTCAAGATGCTGCAATATGTATTCTCTTGCAAAATAACGGATCATATACACCAACTTTCTTCCTCTTACTATAGGTATGTGCCCACCAAGGTCGATTAAGATGGCTGGCAGCATATAGGTACTAATGATTGTTGCTGGTTGTTGCATTAACTTTTCACTGTTAGCCAGGAATTGTGAAGTGATTGCAGTGTTAACTTGTACTATTAAAGGGTCTTCATGCCCTTTATTTTAGTATATAAGAGCCATTTTCTAATACTAAGTGGGCTCGATATTGATTCAAACTTCATAGGTTGATTGTAAATGACCTTGTTGCACCTTAGCCGGCATCAGCTCCTTCATACCTTTTAACTAGCATGATACTGATGCAAACTGAGTTGGCTCCCAAGTGCTTGGTTCAACCCTGAATTGCAGAATTCAATTCATTGATAAAATGCTAGTGAATTCCTGAGCGAGGAAATCTTTTCATGTTACTGTCTAGCTTAATGGAGTTACATATATAATATATCCAAATGACCAAAACATCCATTAATTCAGGGGATGAAATGGATATATCATTCTTTACGAAACATAGCTCAACATTTGATGAAACAGTAAAGGTAAGCCACTGATATGTATGACTTTACAGCATAAGCACAAGTAATGTTCAAAAGAAGGCTTACATTGAAAAGCTAAAAGATGACATTCCTAACATCAACAAAGCTTGAGCACAACATGTAGGAACATAGGATATGAAACAGATCATTTTAACCTACTTTCGGTGTCTTATAAACTTACATCACTAAAAGGAAGCTTCATTACTGAGACGTATTCTAGGATATCTAATTCATAACTCAACAGCAAACACTGAGACAACTGAAGGTATGCAAGAGAGATTTATAACTGCAAGAGAAGTAAGATTTCCAATTTCTGTTTCTTAAAGTGTAGATAATGTAAAAACCCAAGGCAAGGTTGTCGCAGTTTGTTGTATTCTATTCTCTGCTGCTAGGCCACAGGACTGAAAAAAGAGTCTCCGAGTGAAGGGAGTGTTTCCAATTCTCTAACATAGGCAACTAGACGAAGTTCAGTGATATTTCCAAGCATAAGCACAATATGAAGCCTCTGGCTAAAAATAGAAAAAAAAAAAAACAATGTGGAGCCTAATAGACTAAGATTCATATAATCATATAAGTACCACATCAGCATATACAAAGAATAGTGTGTCAACTGCACAGCATCTGGTCAGTAATTCCAGGGACAACTCCGTTGTTCACTAGATTTCTAATATCAACCCATACATTGGGAAAACTGGCATACAATTCCTAGATAGTTTTTCAACAAATGATTCCCAGCCTCTTCATAATCAAATGCCAATAATCAGAGCCAAAAGTATGTTGATTTCAATAGATGTATCAAAATGCAATTCTGCAGAGGGTAAATCAACGCCAATGGTAGGATAAATTATGTAAAGAACTACCATATATGTAATTCAATGAGTTACACGACAAACTGTGCAAACTCTAGCTACATGACTCCCTCAACTCTGAACAAAAATTGTTCTACAACATACATTCGGTACAGTTTTACAAATAATTTCAAGATTCCTTTAACAGTTACAAAAACAAGCTTGGTGCAGCATATAGACAGATTTGCCATGAATATGTGGTCATCTATGTTATAATCAAATAGCTAAGTCTCTTCCGATAAATTTACTGCCTCATTCTTTCCTACCAATCTCACCCTCCAATATTGCATGCCTTGTCAAGACAATCTCCTTCACAAGATTCCTATATTAAATGGTCTAACAGCTGCGCATAAAAACAGCTCCGGAGGAATTTTGCTCTTCTTAATCCTTCTCCTCCACGGACCAATCCCTGCATATTTCCACTCTTCTGGTCTCACTTTTGCTCTTTTACCCCTCAGGGCAGTTTCATCTCCATCTTCCATAATCTTTTTCTTTTTGTCAGCTTCCATTACCCCCAACTGCTTCTTGTAGAACTCTGTAGTCATCTCAACACTTCGTTTTGCAAGTTTTTCCATCCTTTCAGAGCTACTTACTGCCTTCTGAAACTCTTCCTCCCAGTACTTTTCATCCTCTTCTTCCTCAGATTCCTCTCCTTCGGTCCCAAATGCTTCATCTCCACCTTCTTCCATATCCAGAACCACATCCTCTTGATCCTCCACCTCCTCATCATCACCACCATCATCCTCAATCCAATCCGTGAACTGGGTCTCACCAGAATCTCGGCCCCAATCATCCTCAACATCATCCGGTGCATCACAACCCAACTCCATCTCCTCCAACTTAGCCTTCCACTCCTTTGTGTATGGATGCAAAAGAGGCACCGGATGATTACTCAACAAAAACTCTAAACACCGAGATTTCCGTTCGTCACTCAACTTCTCAAACCCTTTCACCACATCATCCACAAAAGCCTTTTGACTCACCTTCACAATCTTACACAACCCCTCAAAATAACTACACAGTTCCACACTCCCATCCTCTTTCCTAACCTCAAACAAATATAGCCCTTCGGTTTTAGGATCAAGAAACGGTATCAACGCCTTAAAAAAATCATCTTGACCTTCAAAACCTACATTGATAACAGGCTTCTTAACATAAATGATATCCGGTCTCATCCAAGCCGCGCATTGAGTAATCAAAGATCTAGCTTTATTCCCTAATCTCCCCATCAAACTCCACTTGTCTAACCTCTCATTTTTCCTAGCTTCAACAACAACTTCACAAACTAAAGTCCATTGTTCCCAAGGCAATTCATTTAACCTCCATTTCGGGTGCCTAACAAACACCCAAAAGTACCTAAAGCCAACATTTTTATCCATCATTTCCAACCTTTTCCCAAACTCTGAAGCCATCTCGAACTGTTCTATCTTCTCCCATTCCTCATGATTCTTCACTTCCCCTATCATCGTAACCCTTTCATCCGTAAACCGCCCTCGAATTGGGTCGCCAACGACAACCCCACGCCAAGAATAAGGCCCAAATTCACCATACTTGTACCAATCAAAAGGGTGTTTCAAATTCGGGTCGTCTTTTTCCATGAACCGGACCATCCTGTCGTAACCGAGTCCGATTGCTTCCAGCTCTTCTTCCGTGAAGTTATCGGCATGGTTTGGTTTCCCAGGGTTCTTCAACCGGTAGAAGAGGGATTCGGCTAGCTTTTTCGATTTTCGACGCGCGTTTTGCTTCGCCACGCGCCTTATCTCCGCGCTGCCTTCGAGCCGGCCCGAGGATTGGCCTCCCGGTTTCTTCTTGCTCCGGCCAGCAAAGGCCCGGACGTCTCGGTGATGAATGGAAAGTATGGGGTACTTTTGGCGGAAAATGGGGAGTATTGGCGGGGTAGGGAAGGGGTGAGGAGTGGCTTAGGGCAGGAAGAGAAGGAAAGAAGGGTTTAGGGTTTTAGAGAAGGAGAGATTTTGAGGCTGCATTTTTCGTTAGGAAAATTGAACTGGAAATATCGGAAAATCAATTAAAAAGACGGGAGAATCACCTTGATACCCAACCGTCGGATTTCTGGGATGGGGCAACTCGTAGGGCTGGGATCATCTAGATCCCAAGGCCTTCGCGCTTACTAATATACATAGAAAAATAAATTCTCATGCTAAGAGTGATATTACATACCAAAGGAAATCTCAATATAACTACGAGTCTCATAACAGTTAAGTGCTGTATAAGCTATTCAATTAAAGCAAATAAGTCAAATGTTAATTCAAGTTTGATTTTTATTTTTAAAAACCTACTAAAGAATGAGTGGCAAGTGAATAAATCACAAACTGAAAATTAAAAAAATGAGAAATTTTCATGGGAGAAAATTTTATGTATTATTTTATATATATATATATTCTTTAATTGATCTTAATTAGTTGGTATTATATTACTCTTTGTTGGGAAAAATAATATTACTCTAACTTTTAATGTGAAAATGCGACGGAAGGATGAGAACAAAATGCTTACAAATATTTCCAGCTATTTCCTAATTCCTCTCCTTTATATGATATTGAATTTTGTCACACACACTGCTTGCATGTGACATGAATTTCTTACTTTTGAGCGTTTTTCTTGGTAGACAAGAAGGAAAAAAGCTATCTTTCTTACCCCACTTAGATTTCGATCATGAAATTCGGGTCTAATTAGCATTTCCCAATAAGAAAATATGCAAATCCTACTAACGTCTCGAGTGGGATAGGATTCTTGCTTTTCAATATTCTAACACGGTGCCAACACTTTTTCTTTTGTTCCATTAATGTAGTTTTGATTCCATGCACCAACACTTGTGCTGTTGAAATTTCTGAACACAATCAATAAATCTAAATGCATTAATGGAAAACAACTCAAAAGACTTGTTGATTGACTTGAAAAAGAGATGTCCACTGCTTGTATTTTTATGTCCCTCGGCCTCAGCCACAGCTCATGTTCAACTTCACCTCCCTAGCTTTGCTCCTTTCCGACAACCCTTGTTTCATACTTTCCTTTTTCTCGAGAAAATATGGGAAGGTTATGAGGATGTTGTACCACATCCTTTGCTTGCTTTTAGCGCTCGTGTATTTCCAGCGCCATTGTTCATTGAGTTTCCTTTCGTCAGCTCATTTCTGCCTCCCAGAACAGGGAGCTGCCTTGCTCGAATTCAAAAACACCATTTCTCTATATGATTATTGCGGGACATTTTCTTCTTACCCTAGGACAAATTCTTGGAATGAAAGCTCGGATTGCTGTTCATGGGATGGAGTCAGTTGCCACATGGTGACGGGTCATGTGATTGGCATAGACCTCAGTAACAGCTGCCTTTACGGTACCCTCCTAGCAAATAGCAGCCTCTTCCACCTTGAAACACTTCAGTGGCTCGACCTCAGTTTCAACCACCGTTATGTCTCTCTTCTTGAAAATAGCAGCCTCTTCCACCTTCAAGAACTCCAACGACTCAACCTTGCTCACAACAATTTCAATGGCTTCATCCCTTCGGAGTTATTTCATCAATTTGTGAGTTTGACCCATCTTAATCTCTCTTCTAATTCATTATGTGACTTAATCCCATATGAAATCAGTCTCCTGTCAAAATTGGTTTCACTCGATCTTTCCAATAATGGTTATCCCGACTTGAGATTTGATAGTCAAGGTTTTGACATGCTTGTACGCAATTTAACTGAATTAAGAAACCTTAGCCTTGACTCTGTAGATATGTCTGATGTTGCACTTCCTTCCTTTATAAACGTGACTCCATCTCTGGAAAGCTTGAGTCTTAATGATTGTCAACTAGATGGAGAACTTTCAAGTGAAGTTTTTAGCCTTCCATACCTCCAGCACATAGATATAGGTTGGAATCAAAATCTCACAGGTCATCTCCCTAAGACAAACTTGAGTAATGCCCTTAAGTTGTTGGACCTTTCCTTTTGCCGTTTTAGAGGGTCAATTCCCGCAACATTTGGAAATCTCACTCAAATCATCTTCCTAGATTTTACAGGAAATGATTTTGGAGGACAGATTCCTGATGCTTTTGGAAACCTTAATAAATTGACTTTTTTGTCATTTGATTCCTGTAATTTTAGTGGTCAACTTCCATCAACTATGTTCAACCTCACACATCTTACCTATCTAGATTTGTCATATAATCGATTAGAAGGTTCGCTGCCAATTCATGTTAGTGAGCTTCAATTGCTAGAAGATATTAGCATATCCAAGAACCTTGTAAGTGGTGGCGTACCATCTTGGCTGTTTACTTTGCCATCTTTGAGAAGGTTAGATCTCAGCTATAACAAGCTCACCGGTCCAATTGACCAAATTCAGAAGCCTAATTCTCTTGAATATATTGATTTGAGTTCTAATGACATTCATGGATCAATGCCCAGTTCTTTTTTTGATCTTGTGAGCCTTGACACGCTTCATCTTTCCTCAAATAACTTGAGTGGTGTCATCAAGCCAAATATGCTTGCGAAACTCAAAAATCTTTACCATCTTAGTCTTTCAAATAATAGTTTACTATCTTTAAGTACAAGCAGCGATGATGAGAACTATTCCTTCCCTAAGCTTGCTACTGTGTCATTCTCTTCTTGTAGCATAAGACAGTTCCCAAGTTTCTTTCGAACATCAAATTTGGAGCTTTTAGATCTTTCCAATAACAAGATTCATGGTAGGATTTCCAAATGGGAAGCAGAAGGGTGGGAACAATTGAGTGTGTTGAACCTTTCTTACAACTTTCTGACCACCTTGGGGCAACTTCCAGCCGGAAAGAATATTCAAGTTCTGGACCTTCACTCCAACATGCTTCAAGGGCCAATTCTCTCAACTTGCTTGAATCTTCAGATTCCAAATCAAACACAAAGTTTGATTGTATTCTTAATTTCAAAGAATAAATTGACTGGAAATATCCCTCAATTGATTTGCAATCAGAGTTCGCTTATGGTTCTTGACTTATCTAGAAATAACTTGATTGGAACTGTTCCAAATTGTCTTGGAAATTTCAGCTATTCTCTCACGATCATGAATTTGGAGATGAATAATTTTTATGGCAAAGTCCCTGATTCTTTCGCAAATAATATGTTGAGAAATCTTCTCCTCAATGACAACCAATTGGAGGGATCACTGCCGCGATCCTTGGCTAATTGTAGTTCTTTAGAAGTTTTGAATTTAAGGAACAACAAGTTAACTGATACCTTTCCCTATTGGTTAGCTTCAGTTCCAAGGTTACGAGTTCTTACTTTGCAGTCCAATAGATTGCATGGTCCCATGCCCAATTCTATAGCTTCTTCTAACTTTTCTGCATTGCAAATAATTGATCTCTCACATAATAAGCTCGTTGGCCCCCTGCCAGCAAAATTCTTTCAAAATTTGAGGGCAATGGAAGATGTACCTAAAGATAGATCTTCGGAGTCATTCTTGTACAAGAATCCGAATGCTCAAGTTATGTATGCTTATGACTATCACCAAACTGCTGTAAATATAACAACAAAAAGAACGGAGATTGAGTTGGTCAAAACCTTGATCATTTTTACATCCATGGACTTTTCGAACAATTTATTCAGTGGACAAATTCCTGAGGAACTCGGAGAACTTATTTCACTCCAAGCACTCAACTTGTCTAACAACAACTTGACTGGTCCTATTCCGCCATCTTTCGGAAATATGATTGCACTTGAGTCCTTAGATCTCTCGTCAAACAAGCTTGGTGGTAGAATTCCTTCCCAATTGACGAATCTGACATTCCTTGCAGTGTTAAATCTTTCACAAAATGATCTTGTGGGACCAATTCCCCATGGGAAGCAATTTGATACTTTTGAGAATGATTCTTATAGTGGTAACTTGGGATTGTGTGGCCTCCCACTGTCAAAGCAATGCGGCGACCCTGAACCTAAACCACCGGTGCCAATGGTTAAGGAAGATGAAGGTTCTGAAATGGCCTTTATTTGGAAAGTTGTAATGATGGGCCATGGATGTGGAGTGGTGTTAGGATTGAGCATGGGATACATTGTATTCACAAAAGGAAGACCATGGTGGTTTATCAGAATGGTTGAGAGAGATTGGCAAAACTATGTTACAAAGTGGATTCGCAGAAACAGAGGAAGAAGAAACTAGCACCACATCCAGATCATGCATAGGTGAGTTTTTTTGCCAAAGTAGAATTACAACAAAGTTCTCATTGCTTTTGTAATCAATAATTGATTTTTCCTTTCTTTTTTTCTACTTGTCAGGGTGGCTTTCGTACTGAATCTAATGCACCCTGCTACTCTTAACGTTTGGCTTTTCCATGGCAGTGGTTTGAACAATTCCAGATGTTCTTAGTGGATAATTTACTTTTCATGTTCAGCAGATTTTATCTGAAGTTTCATGTGGAAAAGACAAGCTCTGAAGAAGTTTTTTTTTTTTTTTTCCTGATGAATTTAGGATTTGTATTGAAAATGTTGTAATTTGCAAGACTTTAATTAAAAATGTTCCAATGCTTTCATTTTAATTTTGTAATTAATTTTCTGAATTATCTTCACAACTCTACACGTGGACCCCACAAAGTCACCTGCTTCTCTGTCCTATACAAAATTCTTTCCTTTCCGAATTCCAGTCCGTAATCTCAGTTGCCAATGTCGAAGTGGAGTCACCATCACTTAACGGATCTCGGCTGCATCGCCAGCGAAGACTTTTCGATGAGATTAAAGTGATCGCAGTTGGGACCTCCCAAGGGTTCCTCTTGGTTTACTCAGCGTGATGATTTGATTCATAGACAGGTAAATTTTTTTTAATTTCTTATCATTTTGGAGCTTGGTTTGGTTGTTATTGCTATTTGCTTCAAAGGTTGCTTTAAAGCAAAATTATGTAATTGATTATAATGTTAATTATAAAGATAATTACTTCATATAAAAGTATAATTATGTTTTAGACATGTTTGACTAACTTAGATGACTCCACTCTGGTAATGTAGAGTATACTTCAAAGGTGGTTTCAAGAATCACATTCTCGTTTTAGGGATTGGAAACCAAAGAAAGATTCAAAGGTTATAGGAAACTCTTAAGGGTGATTACCTTACCAGTTATGGAATGTTAACAAGTATGGGTCTCGTTGATGCAGCAATCACTGACAGAATGGTAAAGAACAACTCAGCAAATATAGTCACATATACGATATACCACATCAAATATTGATTTCAGTATATTATATAAATAATTTAATAATATTTCAATTAATCATATTTTCAAAACAATTAAAGAACCATCATATTTAACCAATTAGTGAGATGATAAGCTCACTATTATAACTCGTTAGTGAGATCATACACTAACTACTATAACTTGTCTAATTGCTTTTTTTCTTTTTTAAAAGTTTACTATAATTTATTAATAAGGTCATACAATTAGTTTTGATGTCAAGTATCTCACTTCTTAAAGATTAATTCCTTCCTTTTAAAATTTTATAACATATCAAAAAATTTTCATATCTAGTTCATGAATCAATATTTGTCATATAAATAAATCAAAATAAAAAATAATTATATACTTGATTTTATTTTCATATACAAAAAATAATAAAAAATATTTAATTCTTTTAAAGAAACCTACATAGACAATAATTTCAGGACAAACAAAGTGTGAGCTTACTTATCTCTCTTTGCTTCAACAACTTGTTTTCTTAAAAATATAATTAAATATCTAATCACAATCATTTCAATATAGCTGATGAGGTAGAATTCAAACCATATCGAGTCTTTAATCGATTTTATTTTTTCAAATAATCCATCGAAATGCAATGATGAATTAAATTGAAAATAATGTTCTACATCAACATCCATTACCAAAAAATAAGTAATTGCGCTTTTTTTTATTAAGAAAATGTTGTATTTATATATTTTACACTTTATAAATGAAAGTATATATATGTTGATCATTCAAAAGTAATTATTTTTGTATTGGGTGTATTAGCATCAACCTTATTCTAATTCACTTTTGATGGTTGGGGTTGGGGTTGACATTTTCTACTCCTATACAAACAGTGTTATTCTTGGCCTTTGATTTTTAATTTGATGCGGTAATCTCATATTTACACCACTAGGCTCTGTGCATTTCTCTTTACTGTGTTTATTGTTTATATATCTATCATTAAATTAAATACTTAAATATATAAATATATATATTTTACATTCAGCATTTAAGGGCACACATTGAACCCTTAATTATACGTCGTTCAAGGATAGTAAAGAGTGGGCGTAGTCTTCACTCTTCACTCCCAAAAGCTATACAATGACCCTTAACTAGCTCAGGTTAAGAGTCTATGCAGACAAGTCTATATGGTACGATTTTAACATGTATGTATACAACAGTCAACACGCTTCATGCTTTTTCTTTCTAACATGGTAATTTGCCCTTCTTGTTTAATTTCCTTTTTGAATTCCCCTCCTCATCTTCTGTCACTATCTTCATTTCTTCCTCTTGGTTTGAAAGCTTAAAAATTACGATTAGCATGAGTCACTTACCAATAACAATCTATATATCATTAGATTGGTTTTTCTTAGCATATATGTCAGTTTCATGTAGCAAGTAATTAAGGTTCATTTGGCAATCGGAAAATAATTTTTTTAGATAAATTGGATTGGACAATTTGTGTCTCTGTATCTTAATTATATTCTACAATATTAACAATTTTATAACTAAATACAAATATGACACGATTAACTAATCGGTGTTAGTATTTGAAACACATATATGAATACGTATAATAATCATGTAATATGATTCAACATAATTAACGCATTTATTAAACGTGTTGAGTTTTAAGTTTTATATGACTCGATATGATTAAAAACACTATAAAACAATTAATACGATTCAATTTTTAACATGTAACATGATTAATATACAATTAAATTAAAAACTTACAATTAAAATATAATTTTATTATTCAAATTTAAAATCAATAATCATAAAAAAATTTATAATAAGATAATAATATCATAAATAACATCCATAAAATCCATTATCTTAATAAAATAGTTTCTTACGACTAAGCTTAAGCAGATTGATAAACATGTTCACTTATAAAGGTTAGACACAATAACATTATTTTTGTTTATTGAAAAGTGATTTTTTTCTGAAATTAAATACTTAAATACGTTGAAGGGCACACATTGAATCACCTACTCAAAGTCATTCAAAGACAGTTTTTTTCTGAAAAGAGTGGGCGTAGTCTTCACTCTTCCAAGCTTTTCAATGGCCCTTTGCTCAAGTTGTTAAGGGTCAATGCAGACAATGTATTTATACGTCATTCAATTCAAGGACAGTAAATAGTGGTCGTAGTCTTCACTCTTCATCCCAAAAGCTACACAATGACCCTCAGCTCAAGTTAAGGTTCAATGCAGACAAGTCTATAGAGTACAAATATTATAACATTTATGCAATGCAGACAACACTCAACACACTTCCTTCTAACACGGCAATTTGCCTATCTTTTTTAATTTCCCTTTTCATTTCTTCCTCTTGGTTTAAATGTTTAATAATTACATCACCATCAGTCATACATACATCAATAAGCATCCATAAATTAAATTATTATATAGGTTCTTCTAATCATATGTATCAGCTTGTGGTAATAAGTAATTGCAAGTTATCATGTAAGCATGCATGAATTCATATTTTGTATGCTGAATTTATAATAATTTTTTATTGTATTTTAGTATTTGACTCAATATAATTAAGTGCATGTATTTCCACATTTGTAAAGTTAGGTTTGAAGATATGGTTTCTTTTTTTTTCAAAATAAAAAGATTAAAAAAAAAGATTGGAGAGAGTTACTTCTTTTCTTTGAATATGATTATGTTAGGAACGATTTGGACAGCTCCTTGGAACAATATATTGGACAAGGATTAATGGAAACTATTGAGAGACGGTTGCCACGTGCTGCTGGTACTAATTGTGAAGGGACGGATTTGGTTGCAGCTGGGGGTTTGTCTAATAGTAATTTTATGTGTGATTGCATCCAAGGGCAAATATGTTCAGCTTAACGGCTTTGTCACGAATATCAATAAAAAATTAGATGAGTCTTAAAATATAAATATAAGTTTTTTATCATTTATTATTTATGTCTTTTAGATTGGGAATATGAGTCAGAACTTATACATTTACTTAACCTCTATTTTTAAAATTTAAAACAGTATAAGGTTGGGCTTAAGTTTTGACTAGAACCAGATTTCTGATGTGGGGTTTCATGAGAAATACAAGGGTCAAGAGTCTCTTTCCTCTGTGGATAGAATGCTAGTGCAAGTTAATGCAATGAGGGTGTTGCACAATTGAGTAAGATAAAATGTCATGAATCTCATATCAATAAGAGATGAGGTGAGCTTTAATATATAAATATGGATTTTTCACCACCTATTAAGCATGTCTTTTGGGTTAAGAATGTAAACTCGTTATTTATAATCTTACTTAAATTTTATTTTCAAACACCTGGACATCCTTAAATCCAAGCTTTTAATTATTGGGTTCTTATGTCTTATTTTATTCAATTGTGTCCATAAAGATCGTAGTTAATTTTAATTATGGGCATTAGTAATAAAATTGTGTATTTAAAAAAAAATAAAACGTGAGGCTGTACTTATCTCTCTTTGCTTCAACAACTTGTTTTCTCCAAAAACTAATCAAAAGCATAATCACAATCAGTTCAACATAGCTGTTGAGGTAGAATTCAAACCATATCAAGTCTTCATGGCTTTTCAGTTTATTTTATTGTTTCAAATAATCATCAAAATGCAATTATAAATTAAATTCAAAAAAATGTTTTACATCATCATGTATTATCAAAAAAAAAATTTGCGCTTCTTTTAATTGAGAGAATGCTGTATTTATATATTTTACGCTTTATAGATGAAACTATATGTTGATAATTTATATTCTATATTACAGATCAATAAGTTATGAATGAAAAAATAATAAAGAAATGAAAGGAGAAAAAATACAAATAACTCAAAACAATGTTAACCTTTTAGTTTAGATATTAAAAATTAAAATTTTGATTAAAAAGGGAATTGTACATACTTTCATTATAATGATTTGAAAAATTAACAACTTAAAATAAGAATTTGGATATCTAATATGGAGGATAAGGCCACAATTTAATATGCTTAAATAGGTGGTATATACAACTTGCATCTTTATTCTATACATTACATAAAAAATTTAAAAACTCCACAAACAAATTTAATTGATCATAGTGATTATAAATAAAAAAGTCAACATCGAAACATTAAACTAGCATACATAATTAAATGATTTAAATGAATAAATGATAATCAATGAATCTATATTATCATATTCATAAGTCATTAAACATATGTAATTATATATATAAAACATTATATATATTTTTTGAAATTCATATATAACATTATATAAAATATATTGTATATACATATGTATGTATATGTTATAATATTATCTTGGAACATTTTATTGTATTTTTGTTTATGTTTGTTGGAAAATTATAATGTGTTCAGTTATGTCTGTCCGAACAATTTAATGTTATAAGGCTTATGGTGTTGTTAAGATTTTATAATATCTAAACAAACTCTTAAATTATTTAAAAAAATTTAAAATTTTTTTATTTTTATTACATTAGCAGTAAGCCCAATCTTATGAAAAAAAAAAAAACAGTTTGAAATAGGTACCAGAACAGTGAACAGCTTTCACGCTTTTCGTTTCAACGTTATTTAAATTTTTCCAGCAATTTCCTAACTCTTCTCCATTCTATCATCTTTCGAGCTCTTCTTTTTAGTTTTGTCACACACGGCTTCTTGGCACCCCACTTGGATTCCCATCATGAAATATTTGGGTCTAAAATAAAAGAGACATCAAATGATGCAAATCCTACTAACGTCTCTAATGGGATAGGATTCAGCGGCCTTAATGCTAACACTTTCATGTTCCCACTTCTCTAGTACGTAGTTCACTTCTCATGTCCCTCAGCCTCAACCACAACTCATTTTTAAGTTCACCTCCCTCACTTGTCCCTTTGCCACAACCCTTGTTTCATACTTTCCTTTTTCTCGAGAAAATATTGGAAGGTTAATTAGGATGTTGTGCCAAATCCTTTGCTTGCTTTTAGCGCTCTTGCATTTCCATGTCGGTTGTTCATTGAGTTCCCCTTCCTCTTTTCTTCATTCAGCTCATTTATGCCTCCCAGAACAGAAAGCTGCCTTGCTCGAATTCAAAAACACCATTTCTCTAGATCATTGCTGGAAATCTGCTTCTTACCCCAAGACAAATTCTTGGAATGAAAGCTTCGATTGTTGTTCATGGGATGGAGTTAGTTGCCACAAGGTGACGGGTCATGTCATTGGCATCGACCTCAGTCAAAGCTGCCTTAACGGCACTCTCCATGCAAACAGCAGCCTCTTCCACCTTCGAGGACTCCAACGACTCAACCTTGCTTACAACAATTTCAATGGCTCTATCTCATCAGAGTTAATTAATCAATTAGTGAGTTTGACCCATCTTAATCTCTCTTCTAATTTATTCTCTGACTTAATCCCATGTGAAATCAGTCTCCTGTCAAAATTGGTTTCACTCGATCTTTCCTATAATGGTTATCCAGACTTGAGATTTGATAGCCAAGGTTTTGTCATGCTTGCACGCAACTTGACTGAATTAAGAAACCTTATCATTGACTCTGTAGATATGCCTGATGTTGCATCTCTTTCCTTTCTGAACTTGACTTCATCTCTGGAACACTTGAGTCTCAGAGATTGTCAACTACATGGGGAATTTCCAAGTGATGTTTTTCGCCTTCCATACCTCC